TTTTAAAGAACTTAAATCAACCTTTAAAGGGCTTCTCTTCTACTACTGTTCCCTGATTGGTCAGTTCATTGTGGAAAAGGGTAGATTCATTGTTCAGTAATTCAAACCATAGGCATAACAGTGTAAACTATATTTTATAGTTGCTGGAATGCACCAGTAAAGCACCTGGCCCGAGGTGCCTCTATTTCTGTGGCCGTACATGGGCTAGTCATTGACTGAGCAGTCTGACCCTACTTTGTTCTATAAAATATCCCTGACACCTATCTCGTTTTAATACGTGACAGAGCAGATGTGTCTGAAACACTCCAGCAGGAGTGATGTCTGGGAGGAGTACAGTGAGCATGTTCCCCACATGTTCCCTCCCTGCTGAAGTTGTAGCTCTGTACTTGTAAAACTAATGTCTAGTGTTTCTTCTTTACAGTTTTCGTGTGTGTGTGTGTGTGTGTGTGTGTGTGTGTGTGTGTGTAGGTGGGGATATTGGATATTGGGAATGTGAATGAAATGCCCACAGACTCCAGAAGAGGGTCCCCTGGAGCTGGAGTTACAGGTACTTATGAACCACCTGATGTGGGTGCTAGGGAACCAAACCTGGGTCCTTACCAAGAACAGCCTTTGCTCTTAATTGTAGGTGAACATTTCTGTCCTGCCAATCAGTTTCCAAAAAAAAAAAAAGACACATATAGACTCATTAGTAATTATAAATACTTGGTGGATAGCTCACGGTTGTTATTAACTAGCTCTTTTTTTAAAAAATTGTGTTTGTATTTATATGGGTAGCTTTTTTTTTAAAAAGATTTATTTATTTATTATGTATACAGTGTTCTGTCTGTCTGTATGCTTGAGGGCCAGAAGAGGGCACCAGATCTCATTACAGATAGCTGTGAGCCACCATGTGGTTGCTAGGAATTGAACTCAGGACCTCTGGAAGAATAATCAATGCTCTTAACCTCTGAGCCATCTCTCCAGCCCCAGGTAGCTTTTTCTTGCATGTATTTCTATGCACCATTTTTTTAAAGATTTATTCATTTATTATGTATTCAATGTTCTGCTCAGAAGAGGGCACCAGATCTTACAGATGGTTGTGAGCCACCATGTGGTTGCTAGGGATTGAACTCAGAACCTGTGGATCTCCAGCCCTATAAACTAGTATTTCTTACCTACGCTGAGCTCATGCTGGTACCTTTTCTCAACACGGCAAGTTCATCTTGCTTCTCTCTGTGTCTCTCTGAGACTCCTCCCTTTTTCTTTGTACTTTGTTTTTGTCTGCAAGTCCAGCCTAACTTCTACCTGCCTGGCTATTGACCAGTCAGCTCTTAACCAATGAGAGTAATACATATTTACAGTGTACAAAGATTGTTCCATACCATTTAACCATTAATCTCTTCAGCCCACTATCTTCTCTGTCAGAGTCTCTCCTTGTCTGTCTTTCTTTTCTCGTCTCATTTTTAAAACTTTAAATTTGTTTGTTTGTCTGTTTGTTTATGCGTGGGGGGGGTACCCTTGGAAGACAGAAGAGGACATTAGGATTCCTAGAGTTGAAGTTACGGGTAGTTGTGAACCTTCTGGCATAGGTCCTGAGATTTGAGGTCAGGTCCTCTGGAAGAGCAGCATGTGCTCTTAACTGTTAACCCTTCTTTCCAGCCCATGTTTTAGTATTTTAAAAATGGTGTGGCTATATGTAAACATTAGACTTTCCCGATTAGCAGTATTTATTTTATGTAGAGGTATAAAAGGATTACAATTCTGAAGTGATTAAATGGGAACTCTAATGCATGCTAAGGTGATTGCTGTGCCTGCTTCTGCTGCTGTTCATTATGGATGCAATTTGGTGTTGCTTTCATTTGCATTTAACTAGTATGGTTGGGAAGAATACAATCATACTAAGCCGTTGCTCTTAGCTGTTTTTTGGTAAGAAGGAATTCTCAGTCTAGAATTCTCACCTAATTATGTTCTTTATCCCCTATGAAGCTTATTGGTTAAAATTAGATATTATATAGCTAAAATAAAGAACCAAATGTCAAATGCATTTCAGAATCCTTTGAATTCTGCCTAGAAGACCTGGCTCTTGCATCCCAGTTTGCTCAGAGCTCCTGGAATGTTTAAGTACCAGGTTCTCCTCTAACCAGAATAATATCACACATGTACAGTTCTTGTCTATTTTTAATGCATTTATACCAAATTTCTTATTGATCTTTGCAGCATCTTTGAGAGTACAGCTGATGTTATATCCATTATAGGGAGGAAGTGTAGGGGGTCTCAAGTGATAGATGAATTGTCCAGGGCTTCTCTGCTCATAAGCCTGGGACGTAGGCTCAAGCCCCCTAATTTTTGTTTGTTTGTTTGTTTTTTGAGACAGGGTTTTTCTATAGCTTTGGAGCCTGTCCTGGAACTAACTCTTGTAGACCGGGCCGGCCTCGAACTCACAAAAATATACCTGCCTCTACCTCGAGTGCTGGGATTAAAGGCGTGGGCCACCAACCACCTGGCTAAGGCCCCCTGATTTCTAAATCTGTGGCTATTTTTAAAACTTCCATGTTCTTGAGCCCCTTAAATAAACAGATCCTTCTAGTGGCTTATTAGATATAACGAAATGCAGAGTGAGACCTCATGTGAGATTTGTTGTAACAAGAAGGACCACTTGTTGGTTCCCGGGTTGCCCAGCTAGCGTACACCCAAAATAACCACACAGAAACTGTATTAATTAAATCACTGCTTGGCCCATTCGCTCTACCTTCTTATTGGCTAACTCTTACATATTAATTTAACCCATTTCTTCTAATCTCTGTATCGCCACATGGTTGTGGCTTACCGGCAAGGTTCTGCGTCTGACTCTGGCAGGCCATCCATGGTGTCTCTCTCATCCTGCTTTCTTCCTCCCAGAATTCAGTTCTGTCTTCCCCGCCTACCTAAGTTTTGCCCTATCAACAGGCCAAGACAGTTTTCTTTGTTAACCAATGAAGGCAACACACAGACAGAAGGACCTCCTACACCAATTTGTGGTGCTGGAATTCTAACCAAGGGCCTTGAGCATGCTAGGCGAGCACTTTTATCACTGAGCTACGTCCTCTACTTCTCTTATGAAAAGTGTAGGTCATAGGCTAGGGATACAGCGTTATTGGTAGAGTGCTTGCCTGATGAGGAAAGCCCTAGATTTCAGTATTCAGTTCTATACTTAGCACCGCACAGCCTCGAACTCAGATAGCCACCTGTTCAGCCTTTAAAGCATTGGCATTAAAGGCGTGTGCCACCACAACCAGCATGGCCGTTTGACCAAGATCAAATATAGGATGTTAAGCATAATTTCCATGTGGTTACACATCCTACATGCTATTGAGTATAAAGGTGGTTAACATAGTTAGCTTAGGAGGGACATCTAGAATTAAATTAAAATTACTTGGTTTTAACTGTAATTAGTTTTGGGGGGGGCTTTGTTACTTTGGAAATCATGTTTGGATGGGAGAGAGGGGTACTGTTTGAATTTGAGGCTCCATTTATAGTTTTGGGGTGGTTTGTCTGAGTAAGTACTGCATATATAATATATAGTAGATAAAAGCTACTAAGAGCGTTTATGAGTTTCATGATCTTGCAACTTTTTCTGCCATGTGGGGCCAGACCTTCTTGCCCTGTATACTGATTTGCACCGTTGCACCCAGATGTAAAACTTGGTGCCTCTGATTTTCAGAAAGACTCTATTCATACAGCACATTGTGGATTTGTATACCTAACTAAAGAAAGGGAGAGAGCCTCGCTTTGCATTAATGCAGACAACTTTCAGCTGTCCCCGGCCTGAGCGCTTCACCCCCACCCAATCCTAGCTTTGCCCTATTGTACTAGCTCCTCTTTTCTTCTCTGTCCCTCTCATCATTCTTCTCTCAGTCCCTTTTTGAGATAAAACAACAAATTCTTCCCCTTGTGGAATGCAGAGCAATTTCCTTTTCTTGACAGCCATTCTGGGATCTTGACAGCCATTCTTCAGGGAACCACCCACTCTAAGGGGACTGGACCTGAAAGGTTGGGGCCCCATATCAAGGGTGCATATTTTCGCAAAGAAAGTTTCTTTCAAGAGGAATTCTGTGTTCACTGTTAGGCTGATAAAACGGAGAATTTGCCATCCTGTTATATAGCAGCTAATACACCAATCAAGTTTTACTAAATTCCCAATAAAGTGTCAGAAGTCTAAAAAACGATTACATCTGTAATCTATTGAACTCATAAACTGTAGTTATCTTTACTTAATATGATATTCTGCATATAGAGTATGCTGCTGCTTGCATATAGGTCATAACACAAAGGAGCTGTCTCTCCTCTGAGCCACTATGCACTTCACTTATGCACACATAAGTTCAGCTTTTGATACTTGAGTATTTCTGTTAGCATGACTTTTCACCTCTGATAGTTTTAAGTTATGTGAAGACAATGTGTATACTTTAGAACTCCATTTATTTTAAGAAGAAAACCTTTATTTTATCTTTTATATTTATTTAGTTTTTTTTTCTAAGATAGAATTTCTCTGTTTAACTGTGCTGGCTGTCCTGGAACTTGCTCTGTAGACCAAGCTGGCCTCCAACTCAGAGATCCACCTGTCTCTGAAAGGCCAGCATCACCACCATCTGGCTAGTTTTTTGAGACAGGGTTTCTCTTTTGTCTATCTTGGAACTCACTCTGTAGACCATGCTGGTCTCGAGCTTAGAGATTCACTTGCTTCTGCCTCCCAAGTGCTAGAATTAAAAGCGTGCACTACCATCACCCAGCGAGGAGGAAACCTTTAATGCTTGTGTTTTTGACTCATTTTCCCTGTAAATGACTGACTCTTTGGTTGTTCTTAGCTGAAATATGGATCATATTTTTCCTATTTTTTAAAATGTCAGTGTCAAAAAGATTATAGGGATTTCACTGTTGTAATATATTAATCCTTGTCTGAATTTATAAATAAAATCTATGAAATTGCATTTTCTCTTGCCATGTATCAGCCCAGACTCACAGATTGTTTCCCCTTATAGGTAACAGAGAAAAGGAAAACCCAGCCAATGATTATGTGATAATATGGAAGAAGATGGGAAAAAACTGTTTAATGGGTAAGGAACAATGCTATGGTAAAATCTTATTGAGAATCATTCCTGCTGGTATGACCAGCCTGTCTTTGGTTAATTATGATCTGTGTCTTAGTGGTGTTCTGAACTTCTGCTCCCAGCGTCCATCTGGAACACTTTTCATACGATAAATTAAGAGGTAGTACAGTCATATTTAAAGATAAAATGGACCTTGAGACCAGCCAGAATCCTGAAAAGGGGTTTGAAGTTGACTGAAGACCGCACTTGCCCTGGCCTGTCAAGAGTTATTACCCACCCTTTTTTTCTTCCCGAATACTGCCAGCTGCTGTGACAACAGGCTCACCATGGGGGTCTTGTTCACTTGAGCAACTGCAGATGTGTGTCAGGCAGTAATCAAATAAAATTTCAAAAGCCCATATATTTTTATTGTCTAGAATTCAGATATTCTAGATAATCAAAACTGTCCATGAATGTTAGGTCCCTACCCGAGTCTGGAAGTTTATGCAGCATTTATTAGGGCAGCTTTCTTCTCTGTCTAAAGCACTGATTCGCAACCTTCCTAATACTGTGACCTTTAGTACAATTTCTCGTGTTGTGCTGACCCCCAACCATAAAATCATTTTTGTTGCTACTTCGTAACTATGATTTTGCTACTGTATAGATCATAATGTAAAAATTATCTGACATGGGACTCCTGCGAAGGGTCATTTGGTAACTCCAGTGGGGTCATGACCACAGTTGAGACCATTGGTCTAGTGGTTGAAAACATGAGCTTTGACCCCAGACTACTTGGGACAGTTGCTTTTAATTTGCATGGGCAAGTTGATCTCTGAGCTTCAATTCCCCAGCTTAAAGTTAGAGACAATAAAATATTTATAATATGTTGATGCTGAGGATTAATTAGTCCACGTGAAAAATGCACAGTAATGCCTAGAACACAGTAAGTACTTAGTAAATATCATCTCCATGGGATCACTCGGTGAAGTTGCACTTTGGTAGTTAGCCCATCTTAGGGAAGGCTAGTGCTAAGGGCAAAAGATTCTTTATGAAAGTTTTCATTTTAGCCTAGTTTCCTTTTTCTTAGAGTGTGTTGCTCAACTGTGAGAACAGAGTTATCCACCTCCAGCTCTTATTGCATATCTTATGGTGTATATGAATAAACAGCCATTTTCTGGCTATATATAATAGTTCTACCTCAGTTTGTGTCACCTGCTGGTAGCATGCACCAGTTTCCAGCACTCAGGAGGCTGAAGAAGAAGGATCATGAATTTGAGGCCAAACCTCAGCTCCATAGTAAGATACTACCCACCCTAACCCCCCTCCAACAACAACAGAAAAAGAGATTCTGTCTCTGCAGGATGTATGTAGTTTTTCTTCTTTCAAGATAGCTATGCCAGATTTTTGGTTCAGAACCTGGTAGCCTAGTTGAACAGAAGAGTCCCTCTTAAATTTCCTTTTTTTTTTCCTTTTGGAGACATACTGACCTTGAACTCACTATGAAGCTGAGGGTGACCTTGAACTCCTCCAATTTTCACCCCAGTGCTGGGAAGCAGGTGTGTAGCACCATGCCTCTTCTTTTGAGTTTCTTTCTTCTTATTACAGTATTTTTGTACCTTTAAAAATGTGTGTGTGTGTGTGTGTGTGTGTGTGTGTGTGTGAGAGAGAGAGAGAGAGAGAGAGAGAGAGAGAGAGAGAGAGAGACCGTGTGTGTGCTTGGTGTTAATGGTCGCCAGAATAGGGCATCGGATCTCCTGGCACTGGAGATCCAGGTGGTTGTGAGCTGCTATGTGGGTGTTTGAAATAGAACTCAAATCCTCAGGCAGAGTAGCAAGTGCTGCTCTTTGTCATGGAGCCAGCTTTTTCCAGCCCTTCAGATTGTCTGTGAGGTCTCTCCCATTGCTTGTCACCTCTTGCTGAAGTCAGTAAGTGGTACTCACACCTCCTGCCTATTCAGTTAATAGTGATTCCTTCTCAGGTCTCTGAGGGAGTTGAAGACCAGATAGTTGCAGATTTCCTTGTTTACCAGACACTGAAAGGAAGTTATGATAGAAGGTAAATTAGGTACAAGACTTTGGACTCACCAAGATAGAGATATGGAGTATTTTCTCATAATTTGTCAAATGCAAATGGACTAGACATTATTGATGTACTTATTTTTTGTGTATATTGTATATAGCTATTGTACTTACTGTATATAGTTTTTCTTATATTAGTTATAGCCTTTTTATTTTAGACAAAAAGTGAAGTATAGTGATATTTTATTTGTTTTAAGAAAGGAAGATTGCCTAAAGATCAGAAGGGCAAAGCTAAGCCACTAGAGGTCAGGCAGTGGCGGCACATGCCTTTAATACCAGGATTTAGGAGACAGGAGAAGGATCTCTGTGAGTTCAAAGCCACTCTGGTCTACACAAGATCAATAAAGAAACAAATCCAAGTGGTCGTGCCCCATCTTTAATCCCAGTACTAGGGAGTTATGCCTTTAATCCCAGCACTAGAGGGTATATAAAATAGGAGGAAAGAGACTCAAGCTGCTTAATCTACTTAGTCTGCAGTCGGCCCAGCCTTGGTAGAGGTAAGACTTCTCTAGTGGCTTGGTTGCTTTGCTTTTCTGATTTTCAGGTTGAATTCCAATAGCTGTCTCTGGGTTATTATTTGTGCTACAGATTTTTATATTTATTATTATTATTATTATTGTGATAGAGTACAAAGAGGATTGAGAGGAGATTGCTTGTCATATGGCTCAGTACAAAATTTAATAGTCCTGTTGAATGTTTTCCCTTTGTGAATGAGCCTCTCCATTTTCCATTTTTAGGCAGATGAGTAAATGCCTTGTAGCCACCTGTCACTTTAGCAGTGAGATAAATAACCAGCTGAAGGATGCAGATGTAGAGAAAATCACACCTGATCCTTTGTAGTTGAAGGTGGCAGTCACTGAGCATTTGCTGTGAAGCCAGCAGATTCCTACCAGCTATGCATCCCAGCCTGTGATTCACAGCCACAGACCCCATTCCACACTTGGCACAGTTTGCTCCTACCGTCTTCTTCAAAGACTCTAGATGCTCACTAGGCCCCCTAGGTAGATCTGCTGCTGTGATTCCGTGTCCCCAGTGAAGCTATACCATTTGAAGTACATTTCCGTGGATCTTCAAAGTCTTTCTCTGGCAAATTCTGCTTGATTTTTGTCTGTTCACCCAGCAGCTACTGGAGCATGCAAAGCAGAGGCTTTCAGAAACAGGATGCTCGAGAGGCTGCCCAAGTGTTGGAATACTACAGGTTTTCAAAGCCTCCCAGTGTGCAAGCAGACAGTTGAAAGTCATAACCCGTAGTCATAGCTCAGTGGCATGGTAGGTTGTGTGGAACTAAGTGGTTGGGTTTCATTTGAAGAGAACTAGCAAGAACCCAGAGTAATTGTTTCCCCAGTCACACTTTGTTACCTGTACCGTTTGACCAGTAGGAAGGGAGTTTGTGAGGTCTGCTGAAAGGACCTCAGCAGGAGGTGACTAGTCGGGGTTAGTGTGCTCTCAGTGTCTTCTGACTGTAGGAAATAACTGTTTTTTGAGCTCTATTGGTGCCAGGCATTGCTTGAAGCATTTCTTACCTGTTAACTAATTGAATGATTTAACAATTCTATGTATACTCACAGGAATATTCTTTCTGTTTCCTGAAGAAACTGAGGTCTGGAGACACCGCCTGTCGGTCATATAGAGCTAACAGGAAAGTGATAGAATCCCAAACTAGCTAGCTTAGCTTGACCTAACTACTGTGCCGATGCTGTTTGGTTCATTTGTAAATGATTGTTAACATTTTCTCTATTCACATTTTATAGTTGTAAGACCAGAAAATTTTTAAATTAAAAAGTGCTTTTAATTTCTCATAATAGTATACAAAAGAAAACTATCAGAAAGCGCCCAGCACCAGTGCTCAGCTCACATGGGAGGCTCCTGAGAGCACTGTGTTCTAGAGTCATAGAACCACAGGCTGGCGGGGCTCTCCAAGCTTGCTGCTGCTGCTTTCTTTTTCCTTTCCAAGACAAGGTGACAGGGTCTCACTGTATAGCTCTAGCTAGCTCACAGCTAGCCTCAAACTCACAGAGACCTGCATGCCTCTACCTCCTGAGTGCTGGGACTAAAGATGTGAGTCATCATGCCCAGCCATTTTTTTTAACATTTTATTTGTGAGTGTGTATGTGTACAAATGCATGAGGAGCTCAGAAAACAACTTGCAGAGTTCTGTCCTTCCATCATGTGAGTCCCAGGGATTGAACTCTGGTGTTCAGGTGTGTCAGCAAGCACCTTTACCTCCCTAGCCATCTAATCAGCCTGGTTTTTTGTTGTTGTTGTTTTTTTTTTTTTTGAGTCAAGAAGCAACTATATATTTAACATAAAAAATATGAGATATAGTAATAAATACATTCCATAAATGCCAGTAATAAATTCACAAAATATAGAGATTCTTCTGTTCTAACAACCACATCTGTTTCAAAGGGATGACAAGCACACGTGCCAAGACTTTGTTCTTGGATGCTTTGACCTGTATCAGTGGTTCCTGGTGATTTTAATTTCATGGATCTTTTAAATATGCACAGTAACCACAACCCATTGTTTGCAAAACAAAACACTTTAACATCAAGAATGTTGGAGATAAAATATCTTTGTAAAGAACCAGTGTTTCCCAAGGACAGGCACATCCTGGCCAGTGAAGACTTGTGGTTAGGCTCTCATTTTTCTGGGTTGCTGTGATCAGATTCCATTTGGACCAGATGACCACTGCAGTATAGCATCCTCCTGTCCATCCAAAGCATGCACAGGGACATGAACGGGCAGAACACCTGCTGTGGACATTCCCATCCTATCTGACCAATTATTATTTCAGATGTACACGTTTTGCCTGATGTATGAATGTGCATTGCATGTGTGTCTGGTGTCCTTGGGGGATAAATGAGGTTACTAGATCCCTTGGAACTTGAGTTATAGATGGTGTGGGTGCTGGAAATGGAACTTGTGTCCTCTAGAAGAGCAGCAAGT